CCCCAAAACCCCAAAACCCCAAAACCCCTGGTGGGTTGTAAGATGTTGGATATTAATAATGAAGTTTTAATATTATTAAAGAATACTCAAGTAAATACACTTTTAGAGTCAAGATCAGTAATGATGCTTAAGTGTCCATTTTGGAGCGTAAACTCAGCTGAACCTATCTTTGACTTCTTTCCAAGAGAAAGATATTGAAGGTATTATCATTAGTTTGTATTAGAAAAAGCGTAGGATAGATGAAGAGAACAAAGCCAAATCAAAGACCAGAAAGCGCCAGACAATAAACCAGGTAGAAGAGCGAATTGAGCATTAAAAAATTGTAAGTACAATAAAGGCTTTCTTCTTAGAAAGATTGCTTAAGAAGAGAGCAAGTTGAAATTTGAATAAACTCTGAAATATTTTGTAAAAGGCTTTTCCAAATAATGATGTATACCCTGAATAAAGGGCAATCAAAACTTAAGAAAAATCCAAGGCTCATGTTTAAGAATTCTAGAAGATATGGTATTATGAGATTTATGAAAAGGTGGTGTTCATAAGGAAAATAATTAATTGTAATAATTATTAAAAAAAGTATGAGGTTGAAAAAGGAAAGATAAATTACACAAAGAACAAAAGAGAATAACATATCAAAAATACAGTTATAAAAAAAATTAAAATGTTATTGAAAGGTTTAAGAGTAGGATGATAAATAATATCAAATATATACGGAATGATGATGTTAATTTAATTAACGAAAATAAGAATAAAGAAAAACAATATGTTGAAAACTGAAGAAATTAGTTTTGTTTATATTATCTCGATGAATTATTCCTGCCACTCAACTAAGAAAACAGTACATCAAAATATCATGTATATATTCTTGCTTCTATTACAATTTTGCCAGCGCTTTTGAATTGTGTCTAATACTTTATCCTTAATAGCTTCTCGTTTCCTATGATCTGAGTTTTATAAATAAAATTTGTGTTTCAATATTACTGAAGATATTGGCTCCGTATTAATATTAATACCAAGAAAGGTGAACTCACCAAAGGTGCTTGTAAAATTTAATTTATGGCTCATTTTTGCAAATTTATTAATTAATATCCTAAATAAATTTAAATGCCAACTAATTGTGAGTGAAAGAAAATCTAACAAAATTATCCTGATTTCTTCAGAGGAAGCAGGAGTTTAGCATCATATTTCAAAAGAGTAAAAGATCTCAATTTGCAAGAAATCTTGGAAGATATTGTATCTATAAGTTTCTTTTCCTCTTGTTCATTTTAAAATATCAAAAAGAAAGAAGTGAACCCCAATACAGTTTCCTCCTTTGAGCCTTTGCCATTAAGATAATAACATAACTTCGCTTTTCACTATTTCCTTCTTAAAAAATAAATCCTGGATACCTAAAAGAGCCTTTAGTTGACTCTGAAACCTACTCTTTCGCTTAATCAAGCCATAAAAACTACAAATTCAGTACATCACTTTACCTAAATAGCAAATGAGAGCATAAAAGATGTCTCACTCAAAACATTATCTACTAAAAGCCACTCCGAATTCATCAGGATTTCTCAACCCATCTGGTATTCCTGGACCAACCAGGACCTCGGCCGCATCATCTTTGAAGGTACAGGGATATTTCAGCAACTAATGGCAGCCAGTAAACCTAAGAGAACCAAGAGCAATGTACAGGAACCTAACTTGACTAAGAAGTTAAATCCAGAAGGCCCTAAACTTTGTGATCTAAGGTCGAATCTGAAGTTAGACCAACTTCACTTACAAACAGCAGAAAAGGGTTTAGCAAGGATGGCTTCATGGTTGCCAGTTATATTAGTTGAGGGATATGCTAGAAAGCCGAATATGAAGGATTTGGAAGTTAATAATCTATCAATTAGTATTAAAATTCTATCCTTATATCATATAAAGGGGTTTTGGGGTTTTGGGGTTTTGGGG